TAGAGAAAAAAGCCACTCAAACACACAGTAGACTTAAACACAGGGCTCACAAGAATTCACAATTGATTTTTTGCAGGTCTGTTACCACTCCTGAATGACAATTACGATATTTCCTTCGCTATTATAGATTATATATATTGTTCACTACTATATGTATGGTATGACTACAGTATTGTTGGTTTGCTTTGTCTTCGGCGCTAAAACACTAAAATAAAATCCCTTACGTTCTGACAGTTTGTAGTTTATCTATAACTCAATTGTAAGCAAAACTTCCAACTCTTAAACCATAAATAAGATGTGAAAAAACAAGTGAAACGAATGGAGAATAGATAGTGAGAGACAGACAGACATCTCAAGACATATAAGAAATAAATAAGTGCTTTGAATGAAAGAAAACAAATGCTTTGAAAACCTGTAACCGATTTCTATGACAATTAAACTGACATTAGGTATTATTTTGTAGCATTAAATATGAGGTTTTTGTTTCACCATCATTGAATAGCTTGGATATATTTTTTCTTTGGTTTCAATTGTGTTTATGAGGGTTTTGTTTGTTGCGATTGTGTTACGTCTAATCAGTAATTTGTTATCAAATATTGTGTCATAAGATATATAATCGTATTAAGAATATTATAATATAATAGGAAATATAAAATATTTATAAATCAATGGCAACCACTTTGACAGCGTTAGCAGAATTATGGCCAGAATCGCGATCGCGGGCCACACTCTCGCCCAACAGTTGACTATTGGCCGCACCGGCGGTCGTCGTACGGGCGCCGGACTTCTTGTGCAGAGACGCCGACGAATCCTTTCGGCGATTCGTACAAAACAGTGCGGATATAATGAAAGTGACGGCAAATAATGAGACCAACAGTATTATAAAATACGTGCGATTCGTTTCCAGCGAAAACTTGTCCCCGAAATACGTGACCAATAGTGTCAACAGTATTAATACAATCACAGCTATGACGGTATTGATTGCCCAGCGCTGGCATATCTGCGCCCATTCAAAGTGTTGCACAACCGGTGAACTATCGTCGTCGCCGTCGCCTCTCCTCAGACCACCTGTAGTGACGCCCCAAAGAGCCGCCGCAGCCATCGCTGCCGACACTGACAGACACTGGTTGGTCAGGTAGTGATGGTTATCACACACACTGTGCCATCAGCAATATCATCCATTTGCTCCCATTTGGATATTATTAGTTTTTATTGAAGTTTTTATGCATAAAATTTTTTTAAATCAGAATTTTTATTTTTGTTATTAATATTAATATTAAATTATAAATTGATATTTATGTGACACACAACTGAAGGAATAACTGAGATTGTCTACCAAAACACATGTATAAATATAACATACTTTGACAATAATTGAGACTTTTGTTGGGGAGAGAGAGAGAAAGATGTTATGTTTTCCGCATTACATTCTGTGAATGCGTTCAACACTAAAAGCCAACAGAATATTCTCTAACTCTGTGTCTCACCTAATGGTGTGCTCTCAGTGTTTCGTATATACTGTGAACTAAAACTACTGCTAGAGTTAAGTGCTGTTGTTATGTAAGAATGTGTTGTCAATACTCTCTCACACACACTCACAATAACTATGCGCTCACTATTTGTGGTCCCAAATACTGTTTCATCGATCGCAAGACTGACTACAGACTTACCCATTATATCAGTGATAAAACTTGTTATAAACTATACATTCATATCAGTTATATCTGATATAACTTTCACGCAAACAATAACTAATAATTAGTATCGAAATTCTTGTCAGTTATTTAATATGTTTCACAAATTTTCCACAAATTTCTAGAAATTATTATTACAAATAAATATTATATTCATTTTCATTTTAAATGACAGTAGCTGTTTGTATATATTATGGTTTATTATTATATAATTCATTATAATTATTATAAACACATTTTTGTATAAAAATTTATTATAAGAAAATTTAGTACACCATTTAGTTTGTTTATGAAAGCATGAAAATTGCTTTAAATCAATACAAAGTTATTTTATGTATTATATAATAAAATAATTAGCTTAAAATGTTTTAAATATATATAAAACATATTAATTGAGTATTTATGCAAATTGTTTGGTCAACAATAAGTGTGTTATAAATATTCATCGAAAATAGTTTCCATTCATTAATATAACAAAATATTAGTTTTATAATTAAAATAAATGGATATAATTTTTCAAAATCGGTATTTTAAATAAGTTTTATATATAAATAAATGCAATATTAATTTATATAAAAATCAATAAAACTGTATTGAAATGAATTACAAATAGAAGTACTGGCGGCTTATAAATGACATAAATGTAAAAAACATTTTTTAAATAAAAATGATTTTATAAGAAGACTGAGAGAATAATAATAGACTGTTATATAAATGTAATTTTATTTTGATTTTTAAGACTCAGAACACTGCAAACTTTGATGCCATACTTTATACACATAATATGATAAATAATGTAAAACTTATTTTTAGTGACACGAAATCACTTTTGCGCAGATATTATGCAATTATATAATATTTATATATACTTTTCGTATATAAGTGTTGAGTATTAGTAAGTGTTTCGTCAGAAAAATATGTTTATAATTGAATTTTACAGAATCTGTGAGCGACGGCTCGTATAAGGATTATTGACAATATAGCGATGAATACAAAAATCAATAACAATATCAATATTGAATAATAGCTGTTATAATCAGATGTCGTGAAATAACTGCTAAAAAAGTAGGCAATTATAGCCAATATCGTAATCACAATCACAACGATCACTGTATTAACCATACATTTGACACAGAATTTCACGCCTCCATTGCTTTCACTATCATTATAGTTGACATAATTGTAATTTTCCACATAAAGCCTGTCCTCTGAATTCAGTCTCTTATTTAATATTTCGGAAGCGATCGGTGCGACCGTTAAAGCCATTAATATTATGCACACTTCGTCTCCACTTTCTTCTTATGCACACACTTTTCAAGTGTTGATTTCAATCTCTCGGCCCTTAAATTGATTGCGAAAAAGTAATTATTTACGGATTATGTGTTAATTTGTATTCCAACGGCTGATGACTACTGTATACGGCTATGGATTAAATATTTACTCGCAATTGAGATACACTTTCACTGTTAATTGAATGACAAATTGGGAACAGTATAGAAATTATGACATTTATTATGAATATAGCGTTAATATAAACACTAACGAGAAGTTTAGTCGCACATCAGGTTTGAGATTCATTTGCATTCAATGCAATACAACTTGAAGTTTGTTTTTGAAAGTAAATATTTTCATTGAGAAGAGCGACAGCTATTTATAAATGGGTCGTTTGTTTTATCGATTCATGTGTTTATTACATATTTTCCGCTGAATTACAGAATATTATTTTGATGTTCACATAGTTTTAGGTGAAAAATATAATATATTTCACTGTGAAATCAAATAAACGATTTTTAGTTTTATTAACTTAATTACGGGATTAAGTGCTATGTTTTTAATGGACGATATTGTGAAATGTAAATGCAATTCACTGTAAGCATAAGCCATAAACTTTATGGCTGTGTAGTGTCGGCGCAAATGCTAAACTTTGCACTTTTTTCCATCACATCTTTATAAACACTTTGACATAAGTTTTAGTTTGGAAAAAAATCTTTACTCGTAATGCCTTATAATCGACACAAAGCTTTAAAGCCAGATATTATTTTTCTTGATAACAAAAAATCAATAAACAATTCTTTAGTTTTTCATTTTCTTTTTTATATTTTTGGATTTTCTTTATATATTTACCACAGAATATAAAACTCATTGTCAAATATGTAATCAATTATTGAGTATTTCACAATTTTTGTGTCACAAAATGCGAGCAAAAAATAATTTGAAGATCAAATGTGACGACAATGAAATCATTGCACAATTTTATTCATACGTTATAAATATTAATAAATGGTAATGTTTTTTGGACACAATAGCATCGATTTCACAATATATTAATATTAAATACGTGATGATTTTGCTCCAATATTATTACCATGATATAGATATGATCGGTGTGTTAACCCAATGGCAACACTCGACAGTTCAATAACTCAATGACAACACAATGTAATTGCCATACAATGCGAGTGAAAACAAAAATGTGTTTTTGAGACACAATTTAAGCTGTTTTTTTACATTTGAGTCGCTTTTCGCTCACAATAGGAGACTAATGAAAGAATTACTCGCGTTATTGGGCTTTAAGTATAAAAATTGATTAATTATATAATATTCTCGCCGTTAAACTCCATATACTGTTTCATTAACTTCGCAAACGTTAAACAAAAAGTGGCGTAAATTTATTGAAGCGATGAATAAATAATTGTTTTTTCGTTTCAAATAAATTATATCTCACGACAAAAGTTATGCGATTCTGTCATAAATGTATCGATACATACATACATACGTCTACACTATTATACTGTTATACTGTACAGAATATTCTTGCAAACAGTGTATTGTAGTGAACATTAAAGTCAATAGATTTCACTGCAGTAAACATACTTTCAAACAAAATGCCATTCAATGGCAATGACATCATACACTCATTTGACACATATATTACGTCCGCAAATCATTTGTAGACTCAATGCTAAACAATAGATATATTAATATAAAAACTCGTAATAATTAGACATAATTTATAGTCAATCGTAAATGCGATCACTTTTACAGTAATATTGGTTTACAATTAACGCAATATTATTACATAATTGAATACATTTCAAAATCTGTTGACTAATTAAACGCCTAAACGATAGAAAGTGTTCACAAAAGTGTTGGACTAATTGTACGCAACAATTGGTGACTGTGTTTACGGTGTGTAAAGAGAGGGTGTGTTTGGCTTTCGAGAGACAAACCATTAGTTTTGGCATTGATTTGCAAATTGTAATTGTGATCAACACTACTGTCCATCGCCTCAACACATCCAACACAATGGCGTTGTGTCCCATCTGTGGCCCCAAACTGTCCATATGTTGTTCATTGCTGTCGATATGGGGTATAATAATGTTGGTTATAATGGGAGGTCTACTGAAGATGAAGTCGATAGCGTTCGCCGAGGATCTGCTCGAAGAGTACACGTCGGCGCCGCTCAAAGACATGGACGAGTTCCTGAAGGCGGCCGACGAGAAGTACGAGAACGCGGCGGTCAGCACTTGGATCGCCGCCGCCATCTATGTCGCCACTCTTGCCTTCAGCCTCTTCCAGGCCTTCCTCAACAAGAAGGCCGACAAACTGTAGCCCAAGAGTATCGCAGACACAGACAGACACACTCAGCACCACCTGTTCCGCCCAGTGATGTCTCCCAACCAATGATCATCACTCACTCACCTCTTCCCCTATGAAGACACCATTCATCGCATCCCCTGTCCGTCGGCTGTCTGTGTTGTCTGTTATGTATATGTCTTATAATCGGATCAATTGTTATATAAGTTGTGTTTTATGGACAGCGAAGACAATCTATTTGTGTTATTTATCGCCTTTCAGTGCCTTTTTATTGTCTTAGATTTGTATCGCATTTTATTCCTCCACTTCTTTCTCTATGATTACCTGTTATTGTCTTTAATTTCTATTCAAAAAGTATGTTTAATGAATACATAAAATGCTATTTTATGTCATTACAAGAAGTTACTAAACGGATCCACTCTTTGCACAATTGTCTTTCAATTATCTAAAAAATTGTTTTTGTTTTTACGTTTGATTTATCATTAAATTTAGAGACAATTTATAATTAAATCAAATGTAAGGATATATCCATACAATTAGTATCCATTTTGTGCCTTAATTTGACATAAAATTTATTGAAAATAAGGTTCAAAACGCCTTTTAATTACTATTATATAATCAAGTGTTGAATTCACGCATAAATTGTGATAATTTACGGACCAATTAATCAATGGATTGAGATTTACATACAATTTATAAGTGAATTGCGTTTTTGATTGAATAGATTTTATATAAATTAAGTATATTTTGCTGTAAATTAAATTCAAACAACTGTTTAATGAGTCCATACCTGAGAGAAACATATATTTATTTTGTATATTTAAACCAGAAATTAGTAATAAATTGTTTTAGTTTTAATTTAAAGGGATTTTAATTATGTAATAGATATCAACAGATAACTAAACAAATGCAACAAACGTTTTAGTTATTTAATTAAAAATTAAGATTTATTATGAATTATGTAAAACATTTATAAATTAATAAACGATTTTATTTTAACAAACGATTAAAATTTCTTGAATACACAAACATTTTGCTGATAGTAATTGAGATTTTTATTTAGTGATAGTTTTATATGTGCTTTAAATTATACGAATAGACATTGAGATGAGAGTGAATGAAGAGAAAACCATCGATACATGTATGGCTTTTATATCACAGATGAGCTTATTTTGTCATTTGGTTGGCAACCGATAGCGAGACAGTTAGTCATGTCTTCTGTCCCTCAATAGCATTATTGACGGTATTATTAATGGTATTATTAGTGGTATTATTGATGTTATTATTATTGATATTATTATTAATATTATTAATAATATTAGCATTACTTTCGACAATGCGCTCTGAATTGAGCCAAAATGTATTCATAACTCCCTTGCCTTTGATGGCGATCTCTCCGCGCGATTCCGTTACAAACGTCTCGAAAGAGTCCAGTATTTGTTTGGTCGACGGACTAATGTGTATGCGAAGGGCTGTTCAACAATCAATACGCATATGACAAACATATTTAATCACAATTAACTAATTATAACTAATATCAATCAATTGAAAAATACACACGCGCTCCGTTTGACTCCATTCTGGACGCCGTATTCACTGTATCGCCTGTAATGGGACAACAAAAAAGTTAGACACAATGTTAAAGCGATAGCGAGTATTGTGTGGACATATGGACTGACCGAAGAGGCAATAGCGGGGCATTTTGAGGCCGACCACTCCGGCCACACATGACCCCGAATGCAGGCCTATTCGCAGCATTAACTGCTCGTTAGGCCGGTGTCTGATCTTGAATGAGGTGACGGCGTTGAGCAACGAGAGGGCCATCCGTGCGATCTCTCGCGCGTGTCGGAGACCGTTGCGGACCGGGATTCCCGACACCACCATATATGCGTCCCCTATTGTCTCCACTTTATACACGTCGAAACTCTCGATCGTCGAGTCAAACGTGGTGTACAAGTCGTTCAATAGGTCCACGACCTGTATATTTACAGACAATGCATAGTATATTTAGACACAGCGATGTCTCGACGTATTTTTAAACAACTATTTTAATTAAATGCAAGTAATGTGTGACAGATATTTGAGATACCAGTTATATATAGAGTTTTATGTCGTGAGAGATATTTAAGGCAAGATGTGTTTCGCAACAAATTCTTAATGAATTTGTATAATAGAGTGAGAATTAAATTCTTTATATACCGAATATGTGCCAAGAATTGTGAGATAAATAAATTCTTTGACATAAAAATTACTTTCCATTCATTTCAATAAACTATTTGAAAATAGTCTCATTTTTTGTTGTGAAACTTAATTGAAATTCAATGCCATATTGTAAGGAGAGGTTCAAAAAACTCATATTTTCATTAAATTGTATCTTAAAAAAGCGATCCGTAAAACAAAAAACAAAATAAATAACAGTCAAAAGCAAAAGTCGACGCATTTCTCCATCTCCTGGAGAGTCAGTCCGGGGTTTACAATAAATTTGCTTTAATTTAAAATTATATCTCAGAGACACAGAAGACATATGTTGTTATCGGCAGAAAATCAATTGTCGTCTCTTTTTTGTTATGTGTTTGTATTGTGTTTGAGTTGAATGTAAGGGATGTCTAAATACTAATATAGTATATGTTTTTATTATACCAAACGACTCGTACCGACGAATATAAAGATCTGTATTTGCTTTCATCTCAAGGGGACGACACCTCTTCAATACCATCACTGGATTCTTATAGTTATTGCATGTCTTGTGAATAAACCGCTCACTGATATTACTGAACAGTGTATTAGTAATGATAGCCCACACAAAAAAATGATAACATCAGTGCTGTTCTGTACGTAAGTGTGTGTAAACCTAAACGGGCGCAGAATATTCTGTACAGAATTGTCATTTAATATCACTAATGTTTCATTCATTTAATTCGCAGCAAATAAACAATAAGAGTGAATGGTATACATGTATAGTATGTATGTATGGTTGCAAAACTAATTCACGTAAAAACATTTTCTGTAAATTAAAGTCAAAAATTTGAATTTCAATTTGTTTGATAGCAAACTATTTTGTATACCGAAAGACAAGTGGAAAATCGACTATTTATAGCCGCGAATTGTACTGTAAATACGTTATGTTGTTTGCAATTGTTGTCAAATGCAAATAAAAACTCTAAACTTAATTGATTTTTTCGTCATTTTTCTGTACAATTAAATTGAATAAATAAATAATTAGATGAAAATAAATCTAATGAAACATCACTTTTGAATTTCAGCATCAATTTGTATGAAACAACTGAACAGTATTTGTTTATCCAAACTTTGGGACGAAGACTAGTTGTAAGACTACTGTAGAGCACAGGATATAACAAAAAGCAATTGATGTCAAATTGGTTGTGATGTCTTGCGATGGAAATAATAATAAAATGATTTGATTTACGAATTAATGTGTGATCTATGGTATGGTTTAATACGGTTTGATATGAGCTGTTGGTTGTAATAAACAGCGCTAATAGAGGCCATCGATTGCCATACTATTAATGATATTAGTCGTCAAAGTATTGGTTTGTCCACCAATTTCTGTCATACATCTAATACTATTTATTATATAACTTATATATTTATTTTATACTAATTGGGCGGACAGTTAACTACATTGTATGCGCCCAATAAATCTTTGTGTCTAACATTTGCACAAAAATCTATTAATACTTTTTTCTCTTTAACATTAAAAGTTACTTTAGTTTTCGTATTTAATCTTAAATAAATCCAAATCGTATGCAAAACAAATTGAAAATCCACTTTTCAATCAGTAAAGATATTTGTGTGCATTTAATTTAATTTATAGTCAGTATTGAATCCAATAAATCAATCAAAATAAAACCTAATGACAAACAAATGCTCGTTTGCTGTATATTATGATAATATATTGGTAACCATTGCAGCAAATGTTAACTCAATTTATACGACTGCCTATTAACTGAGAAAATAGGAAAATATTTCATTTAACGCCTGATTTAATATTATTGACGATAAAAATGTGTACAAAGTGTTAATAAATTATAACAGTTAAAACAAAATACTGACGAATAGACAGTAAATGTATAATTCATTAGACAATTAATAAATAAATAAAATTCATAGCAATTATCTAATGAATGAAAAGCACTGAATATATAGACTTTTAATTAATTAGATTGAGTTTCAAGCGATAATCAGTTCAATTCCAATACACGATTCTGTCGTAAAACTCGATGCAATAAATTGTGATACAAATTATGGAAAGTTGAGTATAAATATCCGGTGCATTACTAAATCAACTTATTTTTATATATTTATTACATAAATAGCAATTAATTATATGACAAAACAAGTGATATTTACCAGATATGTATCAAATAAGCAAATAATCAAAACAAAAATAAAACAAAAATGTCAATTAAAATAGAAAGTCTATACAAACTTATTAATTAAATTTAATTAATTCTATCCTGAATTAATGTTGATCATTATTTTTTGTAATTACATAGCATTGAAAACGTGATTCCAGTCAATGTAAAGGTCGTGTAAAATTTATGTTACATTTTATACGAGATAAAATATTTGTTACATTAGGCATAAAAATGTATATATATTTTTGAATCCCAATCCGAGCGACAATTTTAGTAAAATTGAGGATCGATTCACAGCTCATCTCACAATACATGAGATGAGAAGTAAATGTCAAACACATTCACTGCAACACAACAACTAGTGTTATATAAATGGTATTCAACCTAAAGGTACGAATGTTTGCTCAAAACTTTCATTTTAATCAATTGTTTTTACAGCACAAAAATCGTTAGTTCTTTGCCTTTCAATTCACAACATGTAGACAAGAAATGGTAAGAATATTCTGTAAAGAATATTCTTTATATTCAATTTAGATTGAAATTTTGTTAATCTGAAAGTTATAAAAATTTGTCGTAAAAACAGTGTATTGAGCATTAATTCTGGGCCAATGGCCACACCATCCCTGTGCTAACGGCGTGAGCCCTTCAACTAAAAGACTTTATCATCTCTTTCAGTCTATGCCTTCAATAACACAACACATATACACAACACACCGATCCTCGCATTCAATGCCTTTAATACATGTCGTAATAATAAAGAGGTATTAAATCGGCGAATGAATACATGTCTCACACAATAGACAACAAAAATTTAATTTATAGCTAAATAATTGTATTGCACTTTAAGGCCCTATTTTAGATCAAATGATCGCTACTCTAAAGCTCTTCTCTCATTAGGAGGGAGAGAGAGAGAGAGAGAGAGAGAGCAAAGAATCTTTTCATCTGACATTAATTCCTATACAATATTCTTCACTTATAATGGATTCTTTGAAAATCACAATCACTGTATGTATAGTCAATCACCGGTTCTCTCTCTCTCTCTCTCTCTCTCTCTCTCTCTCTATTTGTTACAACTGAAGCCTATTCCTGTACTCCCCAGACATTATTTATAATGCGAGTGAAAATCACAAACAATGTAAAAAAAATTTTGATAAGAAAAGATGGCAACAAAAAAAACAACTTCGATAACGAGTTGTCTATTAGACAGATAACGATAGCCATATGTAGTGTCCAAACCTGCATTGGTGTAGAGGCGGCCGATAGTGTAGTAAAGCCGACGATATCACTGAAATATATGGTGACGCTGTCGTACGCCTCCGCCCTCACAGACTCGCCTCGGATTAGTTGACTCGCGACAGATCTTTTCATTTATAAATTAGGGTTTTATTATGTGTTATAATTTATTAATCAATTAATTAATATATAATTAATATAATATAAAGTAATTGATTGCCAGAATTAAAGGGACACATACTTAGGGAGCAATTGGTAGAGCAGATCTTCGGCCTTACGTTTCTCTTCCAAGTAATCGGAAGTCCTTTCCTGTACTGAAAGTGGAGAAAAACGTCCAAATATTATTACATTTGGTATTTACACAACACAACTGCTATTGACGTATGTATTTAGGAAATGAGGTTTTAAAAAATAACTACCAGAATAAATACTAATTGTAAAACATCTAGTTTTAAACGCTAAATATTGGTTTTAAAGCGTTTGATATTATTTTTCATGCGATATATATTTATTCTGTTATCAAATATACCAAAAATAATTATTTCAATAACCATTTCCTTATATATTTGCAATTTCGTAACCGAAATGCCATAAAACTAATCACTTTCTGTCCGTAATATATCGCTAACAGAATTTAATAAAGTCTCTAAATAGTAAAATCATTTTCCATAATCTAATTAATTTATTAAAAACATTATTTCAGAAATCGGTGATTATTATTAACGGGCAAAACACTAATTCCCCTTTTAATGGATTAGCGAACGAATGGGTCGTTATTTTCTCAAAACCTTATTGTTATAAACAGTTTATATAATAAGAGGCAATACGTATAGACGCCCAGACATTAAGATAAATAATACGTTAATAAATGAAAATGTCTTAAAAATGGATGAGTTATATTAGAAATACCTAAAGACTCGAGATTATTGGCGTATTGTTCCATACGAGACAATAGATTGTCCAAAATATTGCTGCTTTCGTTGGCTCTATCGCAGCGAAATAAAAAACAAAATCAAACATTACTTATACCCGTATATCATATACTCTTTAATACTTTTTTGATACATTATTAGATTTAAACACATTTTTCTCATATCTCTCTCTCTCTCTCTCTCTCTCTCTCTCTTTCACTGGCACTCAAAATAGATTCACTCATTTCTTTGTTGACAAGTTTTTTATGTAACAAAAAATGTAAAGAATAAGAAAAGTTAGGATAAAAGCAAACTCGAGGCCTAACTTTCACTGAATGTTGTGTTGTGTTGCGATTCATTACATACTTATTGACTTTTCTCATAATTGATTGCAGAGACACAAAGTCAGGCCTCTCGATGACGTCCTCAGACCAGCTTTTCATAATCATCGCCAGTATCTCCTCGTCAGCCATCGTGTCCTCGAGAAGCGGTCGAAAGCCATCCTCGCAGACACTCTCAATGATTTCTGTCATATTTTTGTTTTGTTTCGTTACACAAAACATGTTGTCATTCATTTCGGGCAACAATTAAATTGCAGACAAAAGCGATCGCAAAAACATAGAGAAAATAAAAGGAAAGAAAAAAGTTTTCTCACTATTAAAAGATCAAATAGTTTGAGGAGAGAAAGAGAAAACTTCTTTCTCTCTATCATTATGTTTGTTATGTGAAGAGTGAGAGAAACAGACAATTGTCTATAAAAGTAGTATTTATTGTGTATATATTTGGTTACCTCGAGGACTGAGATCGCAATGAGGGCCACAATAGAAGGGTCCCTGACGTAAGACTATCTCGTGAGCAATTATGGCAAAGCTATAGACATCACCTGTGGTTGCAATGGATAATAAAGAGCACATCAATTGTTTAGCATTTCATTCACTCGTGTGTCTCTCCCCGTGAATACAGAGAGCATTAAAATCCAATAATCATTTGAAACAAAAAATAATAAAAGACAGCTCAAAAAAGAGGCCAAAAATAAAAATCAATTTAATGTCAGAGAAGAGTGAGAGTAAATTATCCAAAGATTTTGAGACACATCTTCATCAGCAAAAAACAACACAATCGGAGTACTCTTTCATCTCAAATGTGAAGTCAAAATGAATTGACACTATTTTTTGATACCTTTTTGAGTCGGTTTCGGATAATGTTCTTTCGTTCGGAGCAGTTCTGGTGCTGTCCATAGCTTTTCTGCAAATAATACATAAAAATAGAGATAATGTTATCACTAAAAGAGTGAGAAAAGCCGAACAATAAATTGATAGCTATAGAGAGTAAAAGCTAATAATCAATGAGAAACAAGAGTGTGATATGTGAGAGACACACAGATCTACTCTCCTCTTATATTAGCTATTATTACGGAGAAATAAAATCGTTGAAAAAAGTAAATGACAAATAAATGACATACTTCTCCAGTAGGCGTATGACTCGGAATCGATGTCACACTTTCTTAGCGTTTGGAGACCAAAATCGGTCACTTTTAAGACAAACCGGGAGTCGACCACACAGTTGGAGGACTTGAGGTTTCCGTGAACATGCATTTCGCTGCTGTGCACGTATGCCATGCCTTTGATTATGTCGTGCATAAGTGAGTACCTGAACATCCAGTCCAGTTTGATCTCGTCGTTTTCCAGTATGTCCTGCAGCGACCCTTTCGGACAATACTCGGTGACTATACAACAGTTGGGTGGGTCCAGACACGCGCCCAGAAAGCGCACCACATGGTTGTGCTGCAGGTCTTTCATCTAGCATTTTAATCATATAGTTTTTAATTTGAATCCAGTATTTAATGTTAATCATATAATTATGAGAATATTCTGCATAAACTCATTATTTAGTGATGAGTTTTGTATGACGTGATGTGGATATGTGGCCTAAAATAGGACTTTTATTTTGTATCTGTTTTATGTTATTTGGTTTAAAACGTCAAACAATTTGTTATATGTCTTAATCTGATTAAAGAAAAAGGACAAAACAAATAACAATTGGTGGAAAAAGGCTGGCAATCCTCACAATTACCCCCAAAATCATTGATTTAAAAGCAAAGTCATAATATTTTCACTGCTAATGAAACACAAGAATTCCGCAGAGATTTGTAAATAAAAATAAGGGATAGTTTTAGTTTAAAAAAAGGACAGACAATACGTGAGCGAAATATAAATCAATGACAAACAGTAAGAAATACAAAATTCAACAAAAAAGTAAAATAAAACAAAATTGACTCGAAATAAGAGAATTGAAAACTTGTATTACATGTGAGAGAGCTATAAATAACAACAAACTTGTGATCGAAATATATCGTGCGTTCAGACAATTAAATCAATCGACAAATTATTTTCCGATGTCATATATAATCAGTGTTTACAAGTGTTTTAACGGCTACTAAATCTCAGTTGCTGTCAATGTATCCAAAATCAACATAACATTTATTCAGTCGATCTCTCTCTCTCTCTCTCTCTCTCTCTCTCTCTCTCAATAACCACTCACTACCTCTTGAGTCCAGTTCTCTCAGAAGTCTTATCAGTTAATCTGTTATTAAAATTGATGTATAAGTCAAACATTTGTCAATTTATTTGCGATAAAGTTTGTGAATTTATAAAAAGTTTTGGTCGTTGAGTGGTTATTGAGAGAGAGTCTCTCTCTCTCTCTCTCTCTCTCTCTCTCTCTCTCTCTCTCTCACTCTGGCTATTAATTTAATACACAATTCCTGAGCAATAAAAGTAATAATATTAACTCTTATCATTAGTTGTGCCCAAAGTGGTGGTGATATCATTGATATTATTAATTAGATATTTCTTTGCTATAAATAAAGTGTAGAATTGATAAAAATAATGAATATTCCCAAACACTGTACACTTAAACTAAGACTCTTAAGTAGACTTCAGGTTTATTATTGTAAAAATAAAAACAGATTATAATTAAAACAACAATTTAGTATTCATTTCAATTAATACTACTTAAGAAAAACAAAAACTATTTTAAGCCAATCATGTGATGCGAGGAATTGAATTTCGTATAGAAATGGCATTTATTTATCTCATAATCCATTAGAGAATATATACGTAGAGAATAAAGTGTCCGTAAAATAATGGATACAATGAGAGTTTCAATCAACAAAACAGTTGTGAAAATAAAAATAAATACAATAACACAATGCAATGCAATAGACAATAGACTCTTGCGTTTGTCTAAATATTTAGCTAAAATATCTAGTGTTTTAATCAGAATATTCACTTAATTGTAACTCAAGAGGTAGTGAGTGGTTATTGAGAGAGAGAGAGAGAGAGAGAGAGAGAGAGAGAGAGAGTCAAATGGAAAACATTTCAATATCATGTTTTGTAGACAAGATATGAGAATATACTTAAGAAATGAGAGATGAGATCAAAAGCATTCTTCGCCGCCATTCACTAAATTAAATATAAATCATAACTTATGTCATAAAATATGTGTAAAAGCTTTTCGGTAATATCCAGGGGATACTGTATTATCAACCATTCTCTCTCTCTCTCTCTCTCTCTCTCTCTCTCTCACACACACACACACTCTCATAAGTGGCAAAACGTGTTTAATCTATATTCTCGCAAATTATTTATAAATTCGTTTTACACTAACATTTGCCATCATTTATGACAATATATATGCCATTAGTTTACTTGAGATGAGTTTCATATCACAGTTAAGAAATTGCATTCAATTCCGAGTTAAGAGATCCCAAAAATAACTCATTTATTAGTGATTTTTGTTACACAAAACAAACAAAAAATAATATTCTGTGTTCACAAGAGATGGGTTTAACTCATGAAAGAGTCATTTATTTGCAAACATATTCCTAGGATTTCAGATGTAATATATGGCAAAAACAAAAGAGAAATAGTAGTTATTTTTTAGTTTTATACGTAAGAAAGAGGAATCTTCACCATATATTATACCTTATTTATTGTATTATATTCCGTATGAATGTAATATATATTATGTTATATAATTTGCTCACATGTTTGAGTTCAATGAGTAGAGATCTGGTGATATCGACCCGTAGTTTGTCAATGGGTTTGATGGCCACTACTATGCCTTTGTAAAGACCCGTTCGGGCAAAGATCTGACACGAATTGTTTGTGTCAACCAATGGCAAAGTGTCCGATGATATCGATGTCTACGGCGTGAATAGCAATAAAAGTAAAATCATTTTCATTTAAGCCTAATATATAGATATAGATATAAGTCACTACAACAAGAACAAACAGTTATACAGTATATAATGTGTTAAATAATAACATTTATGGGGATTTGTATTTGGGGTGAAATATAATTCTCGCTTTCATTAGTGGATTATTAGGAGTTAACGATATGTTTGGCTATAGTTTTTGGTAACAAATTATATGTGAAGACAAATAGACTTTTGAGAAATTGATTTCTTGTCTCTTTGGCTAAACCTTTTAAATATGTGTTTAGCTTTCGGAGCAAAACAAAAAAGTGTGCATTCAATGAGCACTTAAGCCAAATATGAAATTTTTTAATCAATCAAATGCTGTATCACTTATACTGATACTCTTGGTTGCCATAGAGTGGTATGAATTTAATGAAATTTTTTAATAAAATATAGCAAAATACAAAACAACGAATTTTGTAATATAATTAGTTTAAAGAACTAAGTGTTTAATCAATAAATATTTTATTATAAATTTAATTATCCAAAACTAATTGTTCATTAAATCCAAGTAGTTTTCAAGTGATAACGCTAGGAGACAGACATCGTTTGAAACAAATTTGAGCCTAAATTTTGGCCAAATGTTACTAATATGATATAAATTAAATTTTTATTGACTTTCAATAATTAATTTACATTATATTTAAGGCGTAAAAATTTAGACGAAATGCAATTATGGTGTCTATGAAATGCTTAATTCACACAAATTAATGAGTGCTATAATTATTATGACTATAAATGTTTGAAATTCTTGTAATTAGTCTTTCATTAAAGTGACAGAAAACAACAAAATAGGCAGAAAAGACAAAACACATGGTGATAATGAAAATACAAACTCTAGTTAAACTCATCCGAGAGCCAAATCCTTGACGGTTACTAATGCCAGAGTGTGTGATGATATCGTCGTAACGGATCTTCCAAGTCATGGACGCCAACTCTGCCTCTAGTTTGTAGTGTCGATACACTATAATGAAGACGACGAACAGCACCAGCAATAGGCCGGACAATATGCCGGACACAATGGCGTACTGCGAGGCCACGTCGTCGGCGCACCGCTCGTCCTCAAAGCCGCAGACGGGAGTGTCGGGCGGCGGACCCGTCAGACCGCCGGCCCAATAGATGACCCGATTGGGCACATCTATGAACTGTCGACTCACACCGAAATAGTTGGACACCACCTCATAGTTGCCGGTGTTTGGGTCCATATTGAGTAGGGAGTAGTCGACACTCCGGTCGCCGTTCTCGTCGATGCTTACATTACCGGTAATACCTGTCAGTATGGCATAAACACACCGTTCAATTCAATCATATTTGTCATTCAGTAATGACTTTTCTGTCTTTTTGTATTAATATAATTCTCGTATTAATATTAATGTGACATTTCTATCACTTATTATGTATTTAATGTCTCTTTTTCTGTGCAAACATTTACTAATCAATACATTTATGCGACAAATAATCTGCTATTCAATATGAATTGTATGCAATGTTTGTCTTGTTTTTATACATGTCTCTTATGTTATATAAATATTAAATAAATGTTTGTGTGGTGTGTCTATTGAATGGCATAGTATGTGATCTATGTGTTGATCATCACCTGAATAGGTCCGGTTCCACATTTTGCTTGTTATTACACTTCCATTTGTTGATGAAAAACCTTCAGCTATTGTCTCGTTGAGGGCTAAGGCGTACAGGAATATCGATTCGTGAAATGCCGTCACAAATGTCGATACCTTTTCATTAAATTAAACGTTAAAATATATCACTTTTATATCATATATACATAAGATTTATATTTTTTTCTTAACGTATAATTATAATAAATATATCTATAAATTTGTTACACTTAACAGCAAACGCTTCGTTCATTAAAAGTTATTGTAAAAGGTTTTGTGGCAAAGAATAGAATTCAAATAGAGTGTAAGTTTTATTGCCATTGTATCAGCAAATGGTGACACAAACAGCAATAAATCAAATATAAAAATAGTAGTTTTGTATCAATTCTGTTAATGGTTTCTAGATTTGCTCTCTCTCTCTCTCTCTCTCTCTCTCTCTCTC